CCCCCGATATGCTGACCGTAAGGGTGCACAACTATATTTACAGATTAGAGAACAGGCAACCCCAAATGAGGTATCCCGGTTCGTGGGCCATAAAGTAGGCATTAAGGAACCTAGCCGAACCCTCTGTGTTAGGGGACTAACATTTTTTGAAGAAAAAATAAATAATCCAAGTAAATTAGATTTGACGTATCTCTCGTCTATGATAGTCTTATACTCTATAGTGATGTAATGAAATAATTTTTAAAGGATTTTATATCGACGTTTGAAAGGCAAACGTGACTAAGCGACAATGCGTGAACTTTACAGTAGACTAATAATATAATGTTGATACACCTAAAAAAAAATTTTTTAACGAATCTAGCTGTAGTAGAATGTATCTAGTAGCTGTAGGATTGAAATGATTTGAATAGACCTAGAAAAAATTTTTTTTTGCGCATCGAATATGGTTATTGCCTTTCATTTATGTACAAAGCAGTTATTGTCGCTTAGTCACGTTTGCCTTTCAAGCGTCGATATATTGCACATACAGAGCTGTCACTTATGCGATTCTTGTTAAAACTGAACTGAGTTTGAGAAAATCCATTTTTTAATAGTTATTAGTGAGATGTTTGCTTTTACTGATTCTCTTCCCCCTAAAGCTCTTCCCCCAACCTATACAATAAAAATAAAAAATATTTAGACGAGAAGAACTATAAGATGTTGATTTTTCAAATTCTTCACCTGAAAAATTACATAATTTTGCATAGTGACGTTATAACACTGCAGGTGCGATATTTTGAAACGATAACGACTTCAGTTTGCATTTTGTTGATATTGCTGGTAGCGTATTTGAAAAAAAAAATTGAACCATCGTCTGAAAATTACCGAATTGTTGTTTTAAATAAAAGCTGATTTATCGTGACAATTTCATAATTCAATTTCGGAATACAGACATTTCCAAACGAAAACAACATTAAAGTGTATTGATATAAAAAAAAAAAACAAAAAAACTATAATATTAAACATGCAAATGCGACATTTTCAAATCGATTCTAATACGAACGAAATTATAGTGTTGTCCACTTAAATAAATAAATACTTTAACATTCGATGTAAAAGACTAAGATGTGAATTGAATATGCGGACAACGTTTAACCGAACGCAAAGCCCATTTATATTTAAAAACTATTTTTGAACGAGCCGACTGTGTTATAAATTATTTATGAATTAAGATCTCCTCACTGTTACATTTTTTTTTTTTTTTCGTTTGCCCGCCTTGTGTATATACGACAAGGAAACTTTAAAAGGTGTGGGTTGCCAGCTACGAAGGTTCCCTTTGCTATTTTGTTTTAAAGATATATTTTTTTATCTGTTTGAAAAATATCCGCGTTCTATTTTCGATTTTTTGTGTAAAAATACTTTTCATAACTACGTATGTAGCGTTTTTTGTGGTCAATATTGAAGGATCATGTACGTAGGCAACTTAATTTTCAATTGAATGTCTTATGTATAAGGAGTTCTGAATATTTTCCAAACGAGACACTAAGGGTAGTGATAGTTCTATAAAATACATATATATTTATTTTTATTTAACTTCGTCCTTTTTCGTCTAAATTAGAGAACAATTAAAACCAGTTAACACCACTTCAGGAGTAAGAGAAAACGTACACCAGCTATTTTGAGTTTTATTGAAGATTTATTGCTTAGATTTAGTTTTTAGTTATTTTAGTTAAATACTTTACTTAGATTTAGTACTTTTATTGCTTAGATTACAAGCCACGTTTCACATAGTGTAATGTAATTACTGGGGCCCAAAAACATCTCAGCCTGAACGCCGTCACTGATGCAAGAACTTGAAATCTAATCTGCTATTGTGCAACGGCTGAACCACCCTTCAACCCGAAACGAATTACTGTTTCGCGGCAGAAATAGGCAGGGTGGTGGTACATTACCCGCGCGGGCTCACAATCCAACTAAGCTAAATTAAGTTTTGCGTGTTTGATTTTCATGACACGATGTTATTCCGTCACCGTATGAGTCAATGCTGCGAACGTGTGAAGTACGCATGTTCTTAAAATAAAATAAAAACAATTGTTTTATCTCCACGCCGTGAACACTTCAAATTGGTTCACAGTTCAAGACATATGAGGCTACTAAAATAAGCATTTATGCTTAATGTACAATTACCTCAAAAAAATGATTAGTGTTTTTGTTAGAGTTTTGGCTTCTCGAACTAATTCTTTGTACGCTGCACTCGTCTGAAGATTTTTAGTTTATTAAGTAACATAGATATCGTAACTCGCGACTGTCTAGAATTTGGGTGTAAAGTACCATCGATTTCTCGAGAGATTTGCAGAGGAGACACGAAAATATTAGCAACCCAGGTCTAACGCCACCAGTATTGGCAAAAATAGCTCCAAAACACAATGAAAAAATGTGCCTACGCGTTTGTAATTGTGTCCAAAACGGTTCGACAGAGTACTTTGCCGTGTTAAATCGCCTTCTTTGCTCTGAATAATCAAGGAAAATCTGCGAAATTATTGGTTGGTCGAAGATTCTCCTTGATTTTTTAAATATTTGTTTGATGATGAAATGATTTGTTTTCAAAGCCAACTAATTTATAATTACCATCTTTCGATTCGTTTTCAAATAACATATAATTTCGTAAACATGCCTATTTGACTTAACTAAGTCGGTACAGAGCACTTGGACTGATTGAGTAATAACGAATATGTAATTTTAAAACCATTAACAGCACACAACTTCACACAATCTATTCACAAATGAAACAGTTTTAATACGACAAAAATAAACAAATACAACAGCAAACAAAACACGAGTCGTACAATCGTTCACATTACGTCGGATAGTGCATAAAATTACCCAATTTTTATAGCACAAAGAACATATTTCCCATATGTAAGAGGTCGGGCCCCTCCGGGCGTGTCCCCTGAGACTCAGCCCTCCTCGCTACCGATACTACACCTAAAGATTTCCTCTACAACGATATGGGGAATATAGATGCATTTATTATTATTATTTATGCTCGCACAGAGGCGCGGACCGGTTGAATTTCTCAACATTTTACGACTCCGCCTTATTTTTATCGATGTTAAATTCGATACAAATGATTGGTATGGATTCCGTATGATGTAAAGGGTCCGCCGGATAGAGCCTCGCGAAATCGTAACTCGAATCTCGAATCTTGTTAAGTTAATGTATGATCTGTTGATTTGCATGCTTTCATGTTTCATTTTATTATGATTATATCTTTAAGGAAATATTTTCTCGCAGGTTTTTGGGGAGTTTTGTAGTTTATAGCTTACATTTTGCATAGATTAGTCACAAGCTTACATAGATAAGGTTAGTTAGCATCTTTATCTTATAGGTGATTTCCATAATTAGTTAAGGCAGTATTTTTAAACGTCACCATAAAATATATCCATAAAGTAGTTATAGCCTTTTTTTTTTAACGCTGGGGATTCCATTTACGGATACCCGGTCGAGAGGGGTAATAGACCGAAGTAGTTATAGCCTAACCTTATTAAAACTATTTTTTCAGTTAATATCAAGATTTAGAAAATGTGATAAATAAATTGATTGCTAATCATAGGTTGTGAGGTCATTTTACAACTCGAATGATTTGTTAATGTTGCATAATAAATATAGCTATTATCTGTTTATTGAAAACTGAGTTCTAAGCAAATTTGCGAAGTAGCTCCCTCTTAATGACGCAGTTAGGTTATGACTTCTAAAACGAACAAGTTTTGTCTTACCGGATCCGTTAGTAGGTACTAGACTCTCACTAATTAACTATTACCTAAACACCTATTACTAAACTCTCAACTCAACTAACTAAGCTCTGGATTTTTTTATGGCCCTTGTAGACAGACGAGCATACGGCCCCCCTGATGGTGAGTGGTTACCGTCGCTCATGGACTTCAGCAATGCCAGGGGTAGAGCCAAGCCGCTGCCTACCGCTTAATACTCTCCACAAGCCTCGTTTGAAGAGGGACATGTCATAGCGCTCGGGAAACATCGTGGAGGGGAGCTCATTCTATAGCCGGATGGTATGTACATGGCAAAAAATACCTCTGGAAACGCACTGTGGATAACCGTAATGGCTCCACGTCAATTAAACTTTAGTCAACCTCTTCCGACAAGGCAATCGTGTTTTACTTCTATAAAACCATCATGATGCAGATCTATTGATTATCTTTCGTCACTTCCCGCATTCAAACCGAATTACGGACGCTAGAGAAATAAGTTAAAAACTAAAATCGATAGTTATTAAAAAAAATTAGAAAAATAACGCATCATTTTTCTAATTAAGCTCTTTGTTAGTACTTAACATTGAGACGAGATAACGAATGACAAATAGGTAATAAAAGAATGATCTAATTAATACAGATACATGAGAAGATTATTGATTTTTTCATGTGACATTAATAGAGCACTCTAAAATATGACGGCTAATTTCAACATTCACCTTAATTTTTGGATAATTTGGGCAGTCACGAGATTCCTGATTAACCTATTTTCAGGGAACTCTGAAATAAAAGTGGGAACGCAGGCGGGTGAGGATAGTCGCAAAATAGCTTATTTATTTATTGCTTAGATGGGTGGACGAGCTCATAGCTCACCTGGTGTTCAATAGTTACCGTAGCCCATAGACATGTACAACGTAAATGGCGCCACCCACCTTGAGACATGCGTTCTAAGGTCTCAGTATAAATACAACGGCTGCCCCATCCTTCAAGCCGAAACGCATTACTGATTCACGGCAGAAATGGGCAGGGCTGTGGTACCTACTCTTGCGGACTCACAAGAGGTCCTACCACCAGTAAAAAGGTTAGAGGGGCGTGCGAAAAAAAGTTTCGTCAACTCTTCGACTTCTCATATGACGCGGACGTTCTGGCCGCAGTAATTCTCTAATTCTTGGCCTTCTGTAGCAATTTATAAAATCTAGGCTTATGAAGTATCGCACATCACGCGGATGTCTTAACCAAAAGCCACACTACCTGATGCGGCCTCGCGTTGTGAGGGGGCGGTCCCCCGACCCCATGATGGTAGACCATGTCGTGCTTCAGCTGCGGTAATGGTGGGCCTGGCTGTGGTCCCGATTGGTGCTTCCCGATGTCCACTGCAGCTAAAGCCTCCGCTCTGCTAAGAAGACCGTCGTTTAGGCCACCGAAGATATCACCCTGTTTGTCAAACAAAAGAAAACTATTAGGCTATTGAAATACGGTCTTCTCATTCATTCGAACACTCTATAGAGCGACAAATCGAAAACTATTTGATATTAACATAGTCGTTACCTTTAGTATAACTTCTGAAAAAGTGATATATTTCCTATTTACACTTCACTTGATGAGTATTTTATCTTATAGAGTTCTATACTCGATTTTAATTATTATTATTATTTTTTTTTTTTTTTCCTACCTAAGCTGATAGCCCTAGTGGCTATTTTAGCGTAACCCTAACTTTAGTAGGTGAGCTCACGGGGCTCAAACGTGATCGATTTAAAAAAAAAACAAAATCTTACTTCAACCTAAAATGTCTGTTGTCTGTCTGCCCGAATGTCATAGCTATTTTCCTTGTAAACAGTAGATTCTACCAAAAACACACTTTGGAATGTATGCGTATTCTATTAATTGCTAAATATAATACGCTGATGTTAAGAATAATACCTTTATTACTGGTATTATATGAGTGTAGTATTACAAAAATGTAAATTCATCACATCCACCTACATAAGAGGATTAAGATATTTTTGAAAATAATGTTTCTAAAGTTCTGAGAACGTAGTCAATTATAACTAACTATGAATTAAGTGATTTTAAGATTTAAAATTTTTAATTTCAAACATAATAATTTAAATTTTAAAGATTTTAATTTAGATATACTTTTTTTGTATGTATTCGTAACCTAATATAAATTTCATTGCACTTACCACTATTTACTCTGCACTACCTTTGGTTGACTGGTAGAGAATGCCTTAGGCATTAAGTCCGCCAATGTAAATTTTACATGAAGTGTAATTAAATAAATAAATAAATTCGTAAAACAGAAGTTCGATTTTAAAGCTTAACTAAATAATTTTTACAAAAGTTTATTAAGCACGCAAAAATTATAAATGAATAAAAAAGTTGAACACTTTATTTTTTTAATTAATTGTAAATTTCAGATAAAACGCAGCTTTTAATTTAATTTATTTTTTTAATCATTATGAGTTTGTCAATTTTGATCGTGAGAGCTTATCCCGACTTCAGAACCCTTCAATGTAGTACCTACGTACCAATGTGTAGTATATGTGTAGTATAATGTACGATATGAATATATTCAAAGACAGTGTCAGAACGCTTCTTTCAAAAAGCAGCTTGTCTCGATAACCCTCTTATCGTGGTCGTCTGACGGGACAAAACATAAACACCGTCGCCCTAAGCATGTCTTCTCGGATCCAACGAATCCACTATCGGCTTTTAGGCTCTCCAAGCACCGGTCATCGTTCGACGTGCAACCTAGCCCATAGAGTGAGTAAAAAACTTAACAGTGAGAGCGCTGAGGATCTTCTCAATAGGTCACAATTCTGATCCGTCGGTAGATTCAGCGGAACACTAGTCTTGCTAGTGTTAGAAAAATTGCCTCTGGTCGACCCCGCGAGTTCATGTATCCGTCCGAGAGTAGCTGGAATAGCCCATTAGGCTAGCGTTGAGGAGGAAAAAAGTTGATATAATAACATCAACTGATCTGTTTTCACTAATCCGTAGACACAGCCCACTGAGTTTCTCGTCGGATCTTCTCAGTGGGTCGAGTTTCCGATCCGGTGGTAGATTCTGCGAAGCATGGCTCTTGCTAGGGCTAGTGTTAGCAACGACCACAAGTTAGAGCCCCGTGAGCTCACCTACTCGCCCGGTGAATCTAGTATGACCCCTTGAGGTCACTAGAATAGGTAGGATTAATTTTTTTTATCTAATTTCAAATATAAAAAAATGTGAAATTTTATTTTTTAAATTCGTTTATTTATTAGTGTTTTGTTTTCACTACATTTTTATTATTTTCATTAGAATTTACGTAGTTCTGTTGTGGTAGCAATTTTCATAACTAGACAAAGAGTGTCAAAGACGCGAGTCTGTTCAATAAATTAATAAGCGTTTGTTTGTACCGACTTTGAATATTGATAGACATAAAAATTAATAGCTAATGCTTACACATCTTTTATTGGTCATTTTTTTGTATATCTTCGGTGGTTTCTGAACCATTTATCTGATTTTTGTCTGATCTACGATAGAGTTTGTGTAGTTGACATCATAATCCCTTGCCGTAATTTTGGGTAACTGTTTCAATACATCCTTTAAGTGTATAAATACATACAGGGTGTATTTTTCACTATGTCTACAGATTTTATTAAACACGACATCAGTCAACTATAAATCGCATCACAATGACGACTACGAGTATTATGCATATCAAACGTGTATGCGGAATTGTTTCATTGCAGTAATCGGTGGGGGGAACTTACCCCCGCGGGGCCACAGATGCGTCTAGACTCGAACCTGTACGAACTCGTCTAAGTGGTGTTATTAAGCCGGTGCATAAAAACTAAACGTGAGCTAAGAAAATGCGGATATACTTAGAATTTATTGCAATATTGATAGTTTGCGGGATTCGAAGGAAATTGAAAGGTGAATCAATGATCATAGAGTATACTTTGAGTTCGAATACGTAATACGATCCATACTCTTTTAATGTGAACGTTGATATAGTTGGTTGTTTGTTATTTAATCGCGCGAAATCAGCTTAACGGATTTGGATGAATATCCGCACTAATATATTGTACAGTCTGTATTAATATGTACTTTTTAATCATTTTATCATGGCAAGCAAAATGATCTTGTCAACGCAAAGTACATGCTGTAATAAATACGACGGTGGATTCGTGATTTTGGCCGTCAATTGATCTAAGATTGACTAGTATTAGTTATGGATGAGAGAGTGATACAAACAATTCAGGGAAAATATAACGTGTCTAATTGTCTTTGAAATACAAATTTGACGCGGACGAAGCCGCGAGACACTACTTGTATTAAACTAAGAATAATATAATCCTCTCGTTCATTTCGTGGTGCTTACTTCTGTATAATTACATTTCTAGTATATATGTATGTATATTGCAGATCTTCGGAATTAGAGATCTGGTTGTATATGTTCATGTTTGTGTCTATCTGTCACTTATCACACCTGGATAAAGCAACATGGCCGCCGTTTTGGAACATTCGGTTTTAGTTATAGTTTAATTCAATTATGGGTTTATAATTTAAAACCAAGATGGCCATGTTCTCGTACGATTACGTACGCCAAAAATAAACAATTTTATGAAATAAATAAGATCAATGTGGAAATTCATAATTCCAAAGCCGGAAAATTATAATCTGATTTCCTCTTAGCGACACATTAACACGAAATGTCTAATACCGTTTCTTGTAATTCACCGTAATGTTGCTAGATGTAGAATTTTCTAGACTTTTTTTAGATACATTGCGACTAAAAATTTTGACGTAAATTGTTTTTTTTTAATTATGTTTCTGTTCTAAGGTTTTTCTTTTAAGATGACTTTTAGTTGTATATCACAAAATAATTTATTTCCCCAAAAGTTAAAAAAAAAGACTTGAACCACAATAATTTTTTTTTAATTTATTTATTTAGACTGTCAAGAATGGAATTTAAATAATCTTAATCTTAATAATAATATGACATGGTAATTTAAAAATATTTTGACATTAAATTTCATATTTCTTTTGTACGTTTCACAAGACACAATATTTTGAGTTCTTTTCGGTAACACGAAAATATGAAGTCTACAATAAATGAACATGGGAAGTAATCGATGTCATTTGTAAATTAGCACTTGGTCAAGTTCGTGCCTTTTAATTTTTTCGAAGTAGGACCCGAGATTTCAGTGCGGTATAGAAGTACCATAAAACTTTAGGTTAAGCTTTGAGAATTGTCAAGCACACGAGACCCCACCTCAAGATCTCAAGGTTGTCTCCATATACTTGAAGATGTCAAATATTTTTGTATATTTATTTAAATTCTAGAATTTCGATAAAATCCGGTAATAATTCTGTAGTCAAATGATGCATCTAATAAAATTTCTGCGTGTCCAAAATAAAACGTTTTTTTTTTCTTTAACACATTTAACACACGGCAACACCGTTTCAAAGACGCAATTCGTCGGCAACATCAAAAAGTCATGACTCGGAACCCACGGTCGAGGACAGTTTTTCCTGTATTAGTTTAAATTATTTATGAGCTGGTTTGACCCTGGTTACTGGGAGAAGATCTACGGATCTAAGGAATTAAAAAAAAACCGTGTTAAAGTGAATATCTATTTTTGATAATTCAAATATTTTGTTGGCCTATGTTTTTTTTTTTTTATTGCTTAGATGGATGGACGAGCTCACAGCCCACCTGGTGTTAAGTGGTTACTGGAGCCCATAGACATCTACAACATAAATGCGCCACCCACCTTGAGATATAAGTTCTAAGGTCTCAGTATAGTTACAATAGCTACCCCACCCTTCGAACCGAAACGCATTACTGCTTCATGGCGGAAATAGGCGGGGTGGTGGTACCTACCCGTGCGGACTCCCAAGAGGTCCTACCATCAGTGAAACCACCAGTATGTAAATCAATCGCTCGAAAACTAAACGATTAGGGTGATTTTTTTTCGTTGCATTCATAATTGTCAGGACAAGGTGTGAATGAAGATTTTTTTTGGAAAATTATCATTCTGTCAGCAATAGGTAGTCCAAATTAGAGAATTATTATTAGACAAAATTAGCTCGACGTTACTTCCCGTAACCACTTTACACCAAGTTGGCTTTAGACTCGTTCATCCACCTACGTAATAAATAAAAACACGGAATCAGAATTTTGAATTCAACTATGAAGTGGTAGGAGAGTCGCCATTGCTATTTTGCGGGTTTAATTTTATGGATTCGTGTTGTTCCATTTCGGAAGCCCAAAAACGGTGCTCGATTATATAATTTCTTAATTTAAAAATATAAAACTGACTCGAACTTCTACAAGAACATAATATATTCTATTAAAAAAAAACAGTAACAGACAAATGAATATATCCAATGTTTTAAAGGATTCGTCTGTCCCAAGTTGAATTAGTTCGACTGTGACGCGTCACGTC